ACAACAACAACAACAACAACAACAACAACAACAACAACAACAACAACAACAACAACAACAACAACAACAACAACAACAAAGCTACTGTAGATGGATTAATATTAATTTCCCCTTTGTATTCCAGATTCATTTCAGATGATTCAATCACTCAAACTTTAAGGGTTAAAACAATGGAACAAGCTCATGTCATCTGTCAGGGTTATACATTGATTTAATTTGGTCACACGTCTGGTACTAAGATTAAAACCACACGAGACAAAGAAAGGAAGCAAAAAAATAATAATTTACACAAAAACTACAGACGTTTCTAAATGTTGCTGGAGGGGTAGAAATAATACACAATTTGTTCACAATTAAACCATTTTCAAGCCGATTTCTCACATGCACTCTAGAGACGCAGCGTGTACACGCAAAGTCTCACAGAGGCGTCTTTGTGGAAATAAATCATCTTCCAGCAAGTTTGCCACAACACAGACAGCACTCCAGCTGGTCTGCGTTCAGCCAGCCTGTCCAGGACACCAAGCAGTTTATTGCACTTCAGCTCATAAAAAGGATGCAATGCTTGCGTGTGGGCTTTAATGCAAGGGCTGATGGGAAACATCATGGTTCCTCTGCGCTATTTCAAGGAAAGATCGCTTCGTAACACCTGCAACATCACTGCGTTTTTGCTGCTCTATTCCTGGGTGAACGGGTAACAGAGGCTAAAAGCAAAAGTCGACCACTAATAATAACCAACACCAGCACCGTCCGGTGCTAAATCTATCCCAGCTATATATTACAGAGAATCAGGAAGTGTAAGCTTCGCTGCACAGGACACTTGCAGGCATATTTGTAACCAGTCGTGGGTGCCAACTGCAATAAGAAAATATCTGAGGGTTTCCATCCACTAAAGCTGTGATGGTCCTTTTCAACTACAAGGTCTGTATCCATGTCCTGTAATTCCACACGTGTATGTGATTGTGCCACGCTAACAGGAGGGTCATGTGCTGAGAGGCAGTAATATTATCACTGACAGGACGGGTCGGACATTCCCAGTGGTTTGATTCTCCCAGGCGGAAAAACCTCAGTATTTTAATGTAATCCCCAGAGCAGTTATTTAGCCATTCTATAATCCGCAGGTCCAATGCTTAGTCTGATAATTATCCTTATTGGACACCCATAATGATTAGTTTTTGGTTTCAGCCAAAGCAGCTCAGGCAGTTTCGCGGGGCGGTCGTGGCATTCTGCAAAGTGGAAAACCAATCATGCGTGGAACGGCTCGGGCCGTAAAAGAGCTGCGAGTGGTATGATGGTTACTTAACATGGCAGCTGGCAACTCCTGGACAAGACATTTGGAAAAGTCTACAGCCTTCACTTTGTGGCAGTGAAGTCTCTTTGTAGAACAGGTGGTGCTTGCACACCTTTTGTGTCAATATTAACAACGATCACAGTGCTGTCCAATGAAGTCCTGAAAACAAGAGGGCATCTGCTGATCATTAAACTTCCCGAGAGCCAACGTAACCAGATCTAACTGGGAGAGTAATTGCTCAGGACTGGAAATACACAGTTAAAACAGCAAATAGGAGAAATTTAAGCATCTTACTCTGGTTATACTCTTGTTTGTTTTTCCCCTTTTGAATTTTCTCCCACCGTTTCCAAACTGACAGCACAGAATGGAGACATTCCCTCCGCAAGTGGTGCAACGATCCTGCCCAGAATACTAAAAGGAAAATCTTTTCACACGTCAACCACTGTGACAAGCTTCAACGTGACTGTGTGTGCTCGATCCCAGAGGAAAGTGGGTTCAGAACAGGCTGGCATAACCTACAGCTGGCTGGGAAGGGCGAGCCTCGCTGAAAAGTCATCAGAAGTTTTTTTTTTGTCTCCTTCGAGTCTGAAACAGGTCAAGGCAGGTCCCCTGCATCTCCTTCCCTCCCTGCGCTGCTCTTTACGAGCCCCACCTGGCAGATTAGTGCTCCACCACCACAGCTACTAGCTGTTCGGCTGCTTACTTACACATGCACATACATTCAGCTGTTACTGCTCTGCAGGCCGAGCACAGGCCGTGCACTGTTCGGACTCCGCCACCTTGTTTTGATACGTGCAGACCTGGGCCATGATGACACACTCCATTCCTTGTGAGGGAAAAACACAGATACTCAAACAGAACCAGGATGTCTGGCAGGACAGGTGAGTCCAACACCTTCCAGCTATTTCAGCCTTTGTTCATCCATGACGATCAGAAGGTGAAACGTTGACACATTTAGTGTGAAACCCTGGTGACTCTTGCCTTATGATCCACATGAAACCCTAAACACACTTGTTTGTGTATGTTTGGTCTCTTTTAGCAGCTGTTAAACCACTTACTTAAAAAGAAACACTGAAGAGAATTTCCCATTTCTGATTAATATTTATCCAGCTGACCTGGCAAAGTTAGGACTTGATATACAGACTCTTTCTACTGTAAAAGCTAAGAAATGTTGAGTTTTAGGGTCAGATTGTTTGGAGGTACAGATGAAGTGAGCAGAATTTGCTTCTTGGTTTTTAAACAGATTTAAAAAGTCTCTCGGACTGCAGGCACGTTTAGTAAAGAAAGTGAAAAATAATCACTTCATTTAGAAGAAAAAAGTGAAACCAAATGTTGAAGATGTTAAAAGAAACAGGGAGGGGTGCGTTCAGGGACCAAACATGGATGTCACGAGCGTTTTAGGTGAACATCAAAAGAAGCCGCTTATGGCGTGAAAGTTGCACGAGAGCCGATAAAACCCGGTCAAGATTAAATGTCAGATATTAAAATGTAAAGCAGCTGGGCTGGTCTCTGCAGACCTGGACGTGTCCATGTGGCGACCAGAGGACTGGACTGGACAACTTGCCGCAGTCCGGACCTGGCTCGGTCCAAACCGCAGAACCCGAACACATTTCCGGACCAAACCCCAACACAGTCAGGGACAGACCAGTAATGGTTTTTTACCTTAGCGGCTCCTTCCCGCGGGGCCAGAAGAAAAACAGGAGCGGTTTAATCCACAACTTTCCCCACGGACGGTCGGGACGAGTCCCCCCACAGATCCTCAGGCCGGACCCCTCGTCCCCCCTTCTCGTCGGTCCCTCGCTGTGGATACTTCCCTCCCTGCTCCGTCTGGGATCAAACCATCACATTCCACCGCGTCCTGAACAATAAAGAAGTGGGCTTTCCTTCTCTGCTGCCGGAGGAGCCACCCCTCCGATGACTCTTCCCGGGTCTGACCGCCCAGAGAACGCCCTTCCCGGCTGCGAGGACCCGCCTCTCCCCCCTCCCGCTGCCAGTGAAGGGGAAAGAATCCAAACAAGCTGCGTCCAGACTTTAGAAATGAACCCTTCACTCAGATTACATCCTCCGAGCAGCGTTACACTTCTGTTCAGGGACACTGACAAAAGTTAGACTTTAAGTTCAGCTACAGAGACTGCACTGCTCTGAGAATGCTTATTGCTGAACAACTTGCTGAAAAACAGCTGAAATGAGCTAAAAACATGCTGAAACCTAGCTGAAACGGAAGAACAAGCCTAAATCAGCAGAAGAAAGAACATTTGCTGAATTAGGTTTAATAAGCTGAAATGAGCACAAAAATTAGGAAAGTAGCTAACAAAGCTGAAATTAGCAACCATAAATAAATGATTGGCTGAAAGTAGCTGAAAAGGCACAAAGAAACTTAAACTACCAGAATGGAATGAATTGCAGTGGAATGAGCTGAAACGAGCTAAAAATAAATAATTATAAAAACAAAGTGGAATTAGCTTTAAAAAATAAGCTAAATTTAGCACAAAAACAGCTAAATGTAGCTGAAATAGCAGAAAAAGCATAAATATGTTGAAAGGAGCACAACAAGCTGAAATTAACAGAAAAAAGTTATTTAGGTTGAAAGTAGCAGAAATTGCCATGAAAAACTTGAATTTATCTAAAAACAGCTGAAATTGGCTACAAAATACAAAAAAAAGGTAGCTGAAGGGGTAGACAACGCTTAAATTAGCAGAAGTAAGTAGAGTATAATTTTGCCCAATTTGGCTGAAAGAAACAGAAATGAGCACAAAGAAGTGGAAAATATCTGAAATTAGTATAAAAACAGCTGAAACGTAGCTTAAAAAAGCAGAAAGAAGCTCAAATTACCGGAAGAAAGTGGAGAGAGCATGTTTTTGCTGAATTAGCTGAAAAAAATTTAATGAGCACAAAAAAATGTGTAATTAGCTGAAAAAACTAAAATAAGTAATACAACAGCTAATAAGTAGCTGAAAATAGCAGAAAATGCTGAAACTTGCAGAAATAAACTGATAGGAGCATAACAAGCTGAAATTAGTAGAAATAAGTTAGAAGAAGCACAAATTTTTTGTCGTTATAAGAAAGAATCTGAAAGGAGCACAAAACAGTTGAAAAAACGGCTGAAAGTAGCTGAAAAAATGCTTACATTTGCACAAGAAAGCTGAAAGACGTTGATGCAGAACAAAAAGTGAAAGAAGCAGTAAAATATTGTAAACTAAACATCTGAAAGATGTAAAATGAGCTCAATTCATTTTCTATGAGAACAAAAGTGTCAGAAAAGGCTAAATATTTAAAAAAGCTAAAGTTGCACGGATACCAAAAGTCATTGCACAATTGTCCTGAAAGATCTGAACGTTGTGATTTAGGATTTGTTGAAATAGCTGAAAACTGCGGGACGAGAATCACACTGCAGAAGAAAAATGGTGGCCATCTTGAACTGGGTGTGTGTTAATGACAACACTTTAAGCAAAGATCTCACATATATAGTATGAGATTAGGCTCTGCTACTACCACACCAAATTTTAGCTCAAAATATGAAAAATAGTCAAAGTTAGAGTCAGTTTAGTGTTTTCTAATGGGCTGTGGTGGCCATCTTGAACTGGGTTGACTCCAAGCATTGTTTAGTTGTTCATTCTCTGAAGGTTTGATTAAAATCTGTTCAGTGGTTCATAAGATATTTTGCTAACATTTAGACAAAGGTTGACTCCAATCAGTATGTGCTCAAAGTTTAAGGTGTAGATGACTACCAGCTACTACCCCCTTAGCAAAAAGTAGTTTATCTAAGTGTACTACAAGTATACTTATTTTACACTAAAAGTGAGGAAGTGTACTTGAAGTTTACTTTTTATAAACTTTATTTGATATACTTAAAAATAGTATAAAAATGTCCCAGTTTAGTCCAAACAAGTATTAAATCAGTATACTTTCTAGTATACTACAAGTATGGTGTGTAGTATATTTGACATACTTAACTTAAAGTATACTTGCAAAAATGAACTTCAAATGTACTAATTTTGTTTAGGGCCACCCCAACTTTTAGCTCAAAGTCTTTAAAACTGACCGAGTTAGAGTCGTTCTTTATTTGCTACGGTCACTTTGGCTGCTGTTTGGACTCCAGACAATCAATCAAGTGTAGATGAACATCTTGTGATTGTCATTACTGGTTAATGATACATTTTGCTAACAAGGCAGGTAAACACACACACACACACACACACACAAAGCATGATCCATACTCTTTCAAAAGAAACAACGTACTGATGCTCTCCTTGTTAGTTTAAGGCTAAAACACAATTAATCAACATAAAGTCTCATCCTGGTGGTTTTTAACGGCCTCCCTTTCAACAGACTCACTCTTCTGTTCATATCACTTGACATTAAAAGGCTAACTCATGTATAAATATTGTTGTGATCCTGTCTAACTGAGAAAATACACCAAAAGTCATCAAAGAGGAATTTAATCTTTTCACAGATGCAGCTGCAAGTCAGAGGCATAACCAGGCATGTTCAGACACCTGAACGCCTCAGCAGCAAAGCCACGCACAGTATGTGAATATGAATGACTTACTATGTATGTTGTTGAATAAACTATGTTTGAATCTGTGCTTTTTTTTCCTCAGAGCCAAATGCACTGTGTGGAAAAAGAACACTGTTCAGTTTAAAGGGATTCATTGGAACAAGCAATGATTTGTAATAAATAAAAAGTACAAATAATCTATCGTGGCAATAGAAACAAGAGTAGGACATGATGTGTGTAAAGGCAGGCATGGAAAAATCATGTTTTATGGGGATGCATGTCGTGTTTTATCCATCATAAATGGTTTGGATCATATTCAGAGCAGTTTTTTTGTTTTGTTTTTTTGTTTTGAGAATTTGCTTCAATTCATGAAATGGTATAAATCCCCTCAACGTGCACTGTTGCAGCAGAAGGTCGAGGCTTCTCAGGGAATGTAATCTACACTGGGTGCTGAAGCATACACAGCTGATTCAAGAAGAACAGGTTTCAACATCCTGGTCATAAACATCGTCCACCAACAAGGAGCTTGCTTGTTCTGGTTACAAGCTGTGGATGAAGGAGAGAAATTATTATTTTTTTTTTTTTTTTTCAGCTGCTCCCTTCTTCAGGAATCTTTGCAGCGAACTAACTCACAAGAAGACTTGGCGATTGTTTTCATGCCCGATGTAGTGCGGTGTAAATGAACAACATTTGAAAAAACAGAAATTACATAATTTTTGAATGATTCCGTTTTTTTCAAATGCTGTTCATTTGCACCTCAGGGCCACCATAGATGTCCTTCCTGACACAACCATAGACCACCGAGCTTCCACAGCCCTCTGTGTGGAGCAGAGAGCTGCCATCTGGGGCGCTCAGGGGAGCAGATGGTGGGGGTTAAGGGCCTTGCTCAAGGGCCCAGAGTGGTGCAAATGAAGGAGGCAGGTGTGGGCGCTTCACCTATCCCACCCACATTTTGATGTTGTCGGTACAGGGAATCAAACGGGCCACCTTCCAATCGCAGGCCCACCTTCTCTAACCTCTGCGCCACCGCTCCACATGATGAAGGGTGGAAAAATAAACAACAAAGAAAAAAAAAAGAGAGACATTTAAGCAGACTCCTAAAGCTTTCTTTGTTTTAATTTACCTTGTTGGTATTTTATCCAGAACGACTTGTAGCTGTAACTGCAAATAATCTCTATTAATAAAAAAAATAATCCCAAAATAACAAGTCGGTGCAGGGCTTGGGTCAGTAGTCACATGATGTTTTGATTTGGCTACATAATAGAAAATCAAATCTGAGCAAATTGGAAGGAATTCCAGTCATAATATGGATTATGTTGGAGCTTCTCGCCACAGTGGGGATCAGGATTAACGTATGACTGTCCTCACGGAGCAGGCTAGAACAGATGTAACACTGCTTGATTAAAATGTGGGGCAGCTTGCTGTGTCAGGAAACGTGCGTTTATCCAACGGCATCAGCCTCATGCTGGTTGAAGTAGGACATTTTTTAAAGCAACTTCCTTTGTCTGATGCCGTCATGTGAACCTCCCTCGTCTTTCCCAATTAAAACAATAAAAGCTGGATTCCAGCAGCTTAAGAAGCTCTGATATTTAGGGTTGTCGTGTCTTAATTTGGAAGTAGAATGTCCCATGAGACAGACAACAGAGCTCCAAATCCTTTGAAAGTCCTGACTTACTGTCATGTCTTATATCATGTGAAGTACAGATACCTTGGCCTGTCTCGCTCACCCTCCCATGGCCCTCTCTTTCTCACTGCAGGGGGACATTCTTCAATCCTCAGCCTCTGGCATGCACTAAATCTGCCTGAGAGAGACCCACCGTCTCAAATGAGAACACTCCGCCAGGCAGAACATGAACTTGTTCTCATGTCTTCACCTGTTTTTAACATTCGTTCTTCCTAAAAAGGCCTGAGTGTATAAATATGTTGGTGTTTCAAGTCTGGAAAAGTGTCTCAAGGTCACACTGAGGTGAAGGTGCTACTGTAAAAAGGTGTTAATGGGACAAGAAGGTTTCTGCCTCCCTTCCTGTCCTCACATCACTCTTGCCTCAGGTGTCAACTGGTGGTCCAGGGGCCAAATCAGGCCCATGGATGACCTTAGTTCGGCCGACCAGTGGGTTCATTTTAAATAAAACTAGATTATGTCTTCTAACCCTTTCCATACCAATAAAAATGAGGAATTCCTTGCAGAATTACCTCTTTCTGTCCACACACCTGTGCAACCCCTCCTGAAGAGATTCCTCGGATCAGTGCAGAACATCAGCC